ACGGTTCGTCTGCCAAAATTTCGCTTTTTCGGCACAACTGGTTTTCGGGCTTCCGGAGGAGCTTCCAGATTTTCCTGCTTGTTGTCATCCGCTCTTTCTTGGCTAGCGCGATCGGGAGAAGCGTGTTCGTCAGTTTCCGATGGAGGTGGATTCTGTTCTGCCTCCGCAGTTCGACGCCCGAAATTTCTCTTTTTGGGCACGAATGGTTTTCGTTCAATCGATTGTGGTTGTGGAAGAGTTCCTGATTCTTGGGGTTGAGGTGGAGCTTGTGATGCTTCCTCCTTAGTGCCAGCCGCTCCATATTCATCCGTAGGTTCAGAAGTGGAAGTGTTGGTAGGTTGGCCTGACAGTGATGTGTCTTCTTCTGGCTCTTCCACAGTTCGGCGCCCAAAGTTTCTCTTCTTGGGCACAAAAGGTTTTTGGTCTGACGCTGGAGGTCTCGGTTGAGTTTCTTCCTCCATGTTAACAACGACTTCTTTTTCAGTGGAAGTTGAAGCAGGGCGGACAGTATGTTGTTCCGGCAATGATGAATCTTCCTGTGGCTCTGGTTCAGCAGTCCGACGGCCAAAGTTTCGCTTTTTGGGAACAAACGGCTTTTTGGCGGACGACGGTGGCTTTGGTGTCGCTTCTTCCGTTCCTTTCTCGTTGCTGTCAACCTCGTCTTGACCACTGGTGGGATCCGAAGTTCCCCTGTTGGCAGGCTGTGGTTGAGGTGCAGGGTCCTTTTCCCTATCTCCATCGTCGTTGCCGACCTTTTCGTGGTCAGCATCGGACGAGGGGAGGTTTGTAGGTTGTGAAGGCAGTGATGCTTCTTCTTCTTCTGGTTCGGAAGCTCGGCGCCCGAAGTTCCTCCTTTTTGGCACAAATGCTTTGCGTTCTGGAGATTGTGGTTGTGGGGGAGCTTCGTCTGTTTCCTTCACACTGGTGTCCACCTCGTCGCCATCATTTGCAGGACCGGAAGAAGGAAGAGTTGTGGGTTGTGAAGACAGTGATACTTCTGATTCCGGTTCCACCGTTCGACGGCCGAACCTCTTTTTTGGCACAAATGGCTTTTTCCCTGTGGAATGTTGTGGTTCTGGAGGAGTTTCATTTGCTTCTTTCTCCTTGTTGACAACCTCTGCTTGGTCATCAGCAGCAAGATCAGAGGCAGGCTTGTCAGTTGGTTGTAGTGGCAGTGATGGTTCTTCTCCTGGTTCGGCAGTTCGACGACCAAAGTTTCTCTTTTTCGGCACAAACGGTGTCCGTTTTGACGATTGCTCTGGCGGAGCTTCTTCTTCCAACGTTGCCTGGCTCGCTGCAGGCGGTTCAGGTACAGTTGCAGAAGCCGGCTCTTCTTGTGGTGGTTCTACATTCCGTCGTCCAAAGCGCTTTTTGGGTACAAACTTCTTCCGAGCCGGTGCTTCAGCCACCTTGTTGTCTTCCACAGCGTCATTATTCGTGTCAGATGTAGGAAGCTGCTGTTCAGAAACGGGAGACGATTTCTTCGACGCGTCATCTACCAAGGAGTCTGTCGGCGGTGGCTCTTGTTGCGGTTCCGATGATTTCGGTACGTCCTTGTCGACTGGACCAGAAGAAGAAGACGAAAACTTCTCCCCTTCGTTGTTGTTGTCGCGTTTGTCCGTCTCGGGAGGCGCTTCGTCTTCCGTCTGACGTCCACCAAATCTTCTTCGGCGTGGTACAAACTTTTTTCTCACAACGGGTGCTTCTACGCCATGATTGTCATTGTTGGTTTGTGGTGGTGCCGTAGGAGAAATATTATGAGGAACAGCAGCATTGTCACCATCAGGCGGAAGATGCCGAGGCGATTCTTCGGCACTGGGCTTGGAAGCAATTTCACTGCTACTCATGGGTGAAATGGGGCCAGGATCCACAGTGATATTATTGTCTTGCTCGTAGGCAGTCGGCTCTGGCGGTGGACTGACCGATCGAGTAGGACGGGCAGATCCCCAGCGAGAAGAATTGGAAGCAGAGACGGCAGTATCTCTGCTACGGGACGGTTCCTGTTGTGGTGGTTCTGGCTCCCGTTCAAAGTTTCGTCGTTTCGGCTTGAAGGGCTTGCGCTGTGCAGGAGCAGCCTCGGGCGGCCCTTCCTTTTTGGGACTACTCCTACTACTCACTACAGCTTGTTCCTCTTCTTCCTCGGCCCTCGTTTTCTTTTCTTCCGCCGCTGTTCCCGCTTGCACATCTCCGGAGAATTGCCGTCGTGTCGGTCGGTACGGTTTTCTCTGGACTGGCTTGTCGTCTTGCTCCTCCATTTGTGGTGCCGATTTTCTCGGTACCGGTTTATCCTCAAACGCCGGATTGGTTGTGGAAGAATCAAATGTTTTGCTGCGTCCAAAGGTCCTCTTCTTTGGCTTGAAGGGTTTTCTTCCCGCTGGACTCATGGGACTTTTGGCTTCTTCCGCCGCTGGGGGTGGTGGTTCGGGGTGTCGAGCACGTCGAGGAACTCGCAGCGGTTCTGGCTTGTACTGTTGCTTGTTGTTGTTGCTGCTACTCTCTTTGTTACGCGACCGTCCCGTATCGACTCGGCCCAACCCAAATCCATGGCGTCTCAGATCGACACTGGATTTGCTGCGAGCGGACGCGGGTGCCACATATTTGATATTGTCATCTTCCGAAAGGGATTCTTCGTCACTGTCCACACAACGTCCTCTTCCAGGCATAGTAGGAGCTCGGGCCGAGCTGGCTCTCCCTGGAAGATTGCGTTTGAAGGAATGACTGGTATCACTCAGCCACCGGGAACTCAGATTCTTGCCGCCATTGCTGTTCCCCAAACCAGGCCGACCGGGTCTCGCACGAGGAATGGGTGTCGTGGCACTATTAGATGTCGTTTGCGACCGCGTCGCCGGCATGCGGGCATGTGTTGGTTGTTGTTGAGGACTTCTAGCAGTAGCTGTAGCTGAAGTAGTAGAGCCAGAAGGTTTTCCCTTGCGATGATGCCGATTTCTCGTGCTATTGCGAGACTGCTGCTCACGAGAGGAACCAGAAATTCCCGACACCACACTGTTCGAACCCGAAATTCCTGAAACGACGCTGTTGCTGTTGTGCGACGAAACGGAGGCGCCATCCGACGCGTGGTAATATGCCGATTGCTTGCTGCTGCGATGTTTGGACCTCATTTTGCTCCTTCCCTCGTTGTTGTTGTTGTTGTCCCCTTCCAAATCATAATTATGCCGCTGCTGTTGTTCATAATGGTACTTGGAGGACATGATGATCTCTTCAGCGGAGGAGGAATAATCAACACAAGTAGGTGACGGGCAGTTTGTGCTGGAGCGGTTGGGTGCTGCTTCATCCAAAGGAGGGATGACCATCGTCCCTTTTTCTTTCTTCCAGGCACTTTTGGATGAAGGTCTTTGACTGCGCGCCGCGCGGAAGCTAAAGTACGTTGTGCTGCGTGCTGCATGCAATGCCAAGGGGCAATGCATGGGGACACTGAAATGTCCAAGGAATACAAACCTACCGTTACTTTGTTAATCGAAAGTCCGCATTGGTAGGGCTCCTTACTTGGATTGGAGATGCAGAGAACTACATGTACCTTTATTAAGTTCGCACACAGTTATAACCTTTAGAAGTACTAGCTAGTAGTACGATTCACTTTGACTTTTAGTTGAGGTTTGACCAGCAACCTACCAGTAGTACTCTAGTAGCTTTACTCAGAGGCAACTTCCACGGCTTGATCGATCTGGCTACAAGTTACCAACCTGTTTTGGATAGATCGGGATGACACAAACATCTGAAAAGGCAAAGGTGTCTGCTTTTGCCTATTGCTTGGCACTGCTGGGCCTGTCACCGAAGAGGTTTTAGGCAAGAGGTGCGAAGAGGTTAGGCAAGAGGTGCAGAACCATTACTAGCTAGCTAGCTAGTACGGTATTTGGACTTCTTCGGAGCTTTGGCGCGCAGTATCATGTCCAGGTGAGTGGGGCTGTGTACCGGTACTTGGTCCACCTCTAGTCGATGGCTTTCTATCGTACATGGTACCAAGGACACGGTAGTGTCAAAGAAGAACCTTTTGTGACTGAGGTCTTTGAGCATTATTGACGAGGGTACGATATTGATAAATGTAATCCCACATTCTTATTGTATCATCTCCTCGGCCTTCTTCTGAGTCACCGATTCGGTCTCAGTATATAAGGGATTCTACTGTTGCCTTGTGACGTGGCTTTTGGCTTTGGCAATTTTGCTCTCCAAACTCGCTTATTAGAACGCTTCATTGTTTTGCAGTTTGCGTGATTCGGTACGGCACGTACGCATACATCGATGAACTGCAGGACGAGGGCTCTTCGACTTGTCCAGCCTCATTTTCTCCCCGCTCGAGCTACACGAGCATCTTGTCAAACTGCACCTCTGCAACTAGTGCAGGCAGGAAAGGAAACCTTACCAGACTTGATATCCCAATGGGTCAAGCTCTTTTTTGCCCGGTAACAAAAAGAGAAGCAAGAAATGAGAAGAAACTCTGGCAAGCACCATTATATGGCGGAATATTAAGCTAGCTTGGTAGAGATTTTAATAGCTTTGTGGTGAGAATTCCAGTAGTAATATGACTGCTCTTTTTACATGTAGGAGTGGCACTCGATGCGCCTCAAAGGTGCAAGAAGTGGAGAATCTAATGAGCGGGTTTGGAATGCCACACTGGCCCCGTCATTAGCGAGCAGAAAAGGGACTCAACTCCCACGACCTGCCACCAACAGGCCACCGCCAACCACCCACTAGCCAAGCCGCCAACCACGATGTCATTGAGAGTTTCTCCGTTCCCGCTTCATCGTGGAAACGTGGAAGCTACGGTATGATAAAAATTTCATGGTAGTAGTCTAGCTCCCGACACCAAGAGGATAGCGCTGATGGCATAGCTAGCTAGCTGGCTGGCTGGCTGGCTGGCCCGTATGGATGCTCTGAATTCCCTGATTTCACATGAAAATTTTATTGAAGTAGATCCCAATACCAAGAGGAAGCGACCAACTGAAAATCTTGAAATAAATGATGTTGGCTGAAGGCAACCATGCTGTTCGTTTCTCACATTTTCATCTTTGAAGCTAGCTTGGGAGTTTCTCATTCCACACCTGATTCGATTCGTCGCAGGATACTTGTAAGCAAGATGACTTTGTTTTGCTGCTCCGGCCGCGCAGACTACATGAACCACTGGCTGAACAACCACGGCACCAAGCTGATCAAGGAGTTCATTGCCTTCACAAACGGAGAGACCTTGCCCGAATGCAACGAGCAATTTGCAATTCAAGCCGTAACCAAACAGGACTTTGGTCCCGTCCTTAGCACCATCTGGTATGTCCGCGAAGGCACCGGTTTCAGGATTGATGACACGAGCAACAGTGACAGGAGATTCCAACGTTCCAACGACTTCAAGAACTTCAAATGCAGGTCCCACAAGCGCTTCTTTGAGGTAAACTTGTACACCAAGGATGGAGTTTCGCATCACCATGAATCCACCCGTTCTGGTAGGTCCTACGCCCGTGACGCAAGCATTGACCAAGACTCAGGAATCTGTACGAAAGGAGCCCACTGGACTCACCCTGCCCAAAAGTAGTTGGACATGGCGAAGGTTGGCATACCCGGCAAGGCATTAAACTCTTTATGGATTTCTTTAGTAACTTCCACTTAGTGTCCCTTTGTTACTAGCAGCGTGAGCGCCCCTTTTACTTGTCTACTGCCAGGTTTGGTTGGTTGGTTCGGATGTAGACAGCACAGCAGATTGATTGATTAATTCATTCCATAGTGAAATCTGAAGTCCAAGTTTTCTCGATGAGACCAGAGTGAAATCCATCTGTGCTCCAGCCAGGTACGAAGTTGTCAGTTTGGTCCATGCTCTGCTTCCCCTAGCAATTTGCAACAATCGTCGAGGCGGAAGTACTAGGTCAGAGTGCCCCGTGTTGTTCCTTCCGTTCCACCAGCTGCTGCGACAGTTTGAAGCTCTTGTTCAACTCGTATCTTGCGCTCGGCGTCTAGAATGGAGAAATCTTGCGTCACCTCTGCAAAGTACAAGGACATGTCTTCCAAAGAATGTCCCTTGGTTTCGGGAAGCAAAAAGTACAGAAAGAGGAATGTGACGAGACAAATGCCAGCCAAGAGAAGGAAGAAGCCTTGCCAAGTCATTGCGTCTGTCATTGTCAAGAAGGAAGAGCTCATGGCAGTAGCCGCCAATCGATTCAAAACAGTTGCCATACTCATTGCTTTGGCACGTATGCATGTTGCAAACACTTCGCTGGGGACCAGCCACGCTGCGGGGCCCATTCCAAAGCTGAAGAAGGCCAGGTACAGCCCCAGACCCAGCACCGTGAGAGTACTATTGGGGTTTTCCTTTCCAGCCACATAGAAGGTAATACTAAGAACCAGAAGCGCAATCGTCATTCCTGTGCACAACATAGGAACAGCAAGGACTTGGTCAGCTGCAACACGCATGAATATCGTTCCCCTCCAATGTGCATATACAAACCTGCCAATGATAGGAACACAAGGGGTCGTCGCCCTGCGGCTGGAGAATCAAAAAACTTGGCTGCCACAAAGATGCAGCTCAACTTGACACAACCCAGGAGGATCAATAGAATTTGTTGTCTCGTTTCCGAATCGGTTGTTTGCTCAATGACATCCAGAAGATAATATTGAATAGCGTCAATGCCCACAAGCTGCTGAGCGGTAGCAATCCCGAGACCCACAGTCAACATGCGCCGAAAGGCCGGTGTGGGATGAAAGATGGCCCCCCAGCCCACGGCGTTTTCGGCAATCCGTTCCCGTTCCAATGCCTCTTTCATGTCATCAATGACGAGATCGACATTGTATCCTTTGGGGTAAATGGATAACAGCACTGTCTTGGCTTCCTCATATCGAAATTTGAGCGTGTACCAACGGGGACTCTCCGGCATGACTCGGATCGCCAGGTAGATCATGACACAGGGCAAGATAGCCCCCACGAGGAAGAGAGCCCGCCATTCCAGCTCTGGATTCATGCCCGAAAAGAACAATCCCATGGCAAACCCAAGGACTATGCCTACATTGATGCCGATCTCAGACCAGGTCACCAGTTCTCCCCTGTGGGCGGCGGGTGAAATCTCGGAGATGTAGAGTGGGTCAATCTGGGGGCGATAGGTGAATTGTCGTAGATTCAATGGTGTATTTTTGCATCAATAACGGATATCGTCACGATAAGCAAAAGGCAAAACTCGAGAAGAAAGAGGAACTCAGCGTGCACTTTCTTACCGCAAGACCAACACCACAACCCAGTCCGACGAGAGCTCTACCGGTCATCAACATGGCGTATTCCTGGGCCGAAGCTTGAAGGACCAATCCAATGATAAATCCGACGGATGCCACAATAAACGTCATTCGTCTTCCGTATCGATCCGATAGCACTTGACTACCCAGGCTGCCAAACAACGCAAACAGGTTGAGACAACCCACAAAGAGCTCCCTTTGTTCCTCCGAAAGTCCCCACTGTTCTTGGACAATCTTGGCTGCTGGAGTCGATACTCCAATGTCATATCCGAGATTGCAGGAATTGATGGCTGATTGTTCCACAAGAGTATTTATGAGCAGCCTGTCATCAGGGTGGAATTGACAGCCTGACAATTTCCTTCACTGCACTCACTTACCAGCACACATGGCAAACATCTTTACAGAACCCGAAATGGGGATCTCCCTCCCTCCGGTGTCAGCATGGTGTTCTCCCACATGGCTGTGTATAGGAGGTGGATGCTTTGACGATGTTTCCATCACATAGTCGGCGGAAGATTCTGGTTCTGTCATCATGGAAGGAGAGCCTGTTCCGAAATTTGAGAGACCCTCCAACAAAAGGAAGTTTTCTCTCTCTTTTACCCTCGAAGTCTCTTGAAGGATCGATGGATCCTTGGCTTTAGAGCAGCCAACCAACTAGCTACCGGTAGTGGTACTAGACTAGTAGCTATCGTCGTCGTACACTAAGTACCTGGTACTAGTACTGTACTTGTATCAGAGTTGCTTTCGTTGGGCTCTTGCTTGGTCTGAAGATCTGAAGCATCCTTCCGTAATTCCTTGAGTACTGGACTTGATGGAAGGTTTAACATCCAGTACCGGAGATGCGTTAAATACCGCTCGAGCTTTTGACCCTCTAATTACCGTACCAGCTAGTAGTGGCCGGGGGTTTAGAGTATAAGGGAAGCCAGCCGGGGCATGTGATGCCGATGCCCTGCTCACAAAATTCTAGTTCCCATTATTTGCAAACAAATGACGGGATCCACTTTCGGAAAGGTAGAAGCTCATCGGATGCTAGTCTGTAGGGAATTCTAATTGCTTTGGTACCGTACCATCTAGTAAATACTAGCTAGTTGCAGTAGGATACGAAGAAGAAACCAGAAAGAAGAAAGCACCATGAAAGAAATCGAAACTTTGGCCAGTCCTTTTATGACAACCGTCAATGTCCGACGACCACAAAGGCTCAACAGTGTCGCAGAGAAGTCTCCGCTTCTTGATTTTTTTCTCGAAAGAAACAGTGTACAAATTTCCATTTGGCATACCTGTACATACCGTACTAGAACTGCTGTGCATTGGTCTTGATCGGTGCAATTGCTGCTTCGCTTGGATACTGAGCCCTTTTTTGAATTTTGTTCGAGCCAAACCTATTGAAGTTTAGTATCATCAATAGAGGACCATGAAGAAAGCTCTCAAGGGCAGCAGCAACACTGGCGGGTACAAGTCATTCGATAAAAAACAACCCTTCGTCCCTCCTGCTTCCCTGATCAAACTGAAACGATCTGCCTCCACGACCAGTGCGAGCCGCCGATACCCCGACATTCAAGGAGATACCGTCAACCTAGAGTTGAGTGAGTACCAGTACTATGACGACGATCAAACAACATTCGATCTGGGACTCGTAAACACCGGTCATGATACTACCACCGTGACAGAGCCTGAAACCGACTTTGAAGAGCTAGTGGCATCACCAAATAGGATAGCCACAATCAACCAGCTCAAACCTTGGAGCAGTCGTCCTCTCAAGAATGTTACCAAAAAGTATGTACCGCTCTCGGAACGACTCAAGCTCAAAAAGAAGTTTCCCGCTCGACATGCCGATGCTGTGGAGGAAGAACCCCCTGCTAGACCGTCCACGCCACCCAAAAAGATCATTCTGGAACCAGTGCAGACATATACTACAGGTGAAAACGTAGAGATGCAACTTGGACGTTGTCCGTCTAGTGACAGTAGTGAAGTTGTCTTTATTCATCCACTGGACACGGAGGATGACCATGGCGACAAACAGAGCAAGCAACCGCCCCAGGACCAAACTGTTACCCCCGCTGACCCCGATGAGTCATCGGTACGGCAAAAAAGAGCCTCCTCCTCCGCCGACAGTGTGGCGCAACCTCCTGCTCCAGTAGTCGAGAAACGACAAGCGATGGAACCTCCTTCCCATGTATACCATTCCGATACATCGTCGTTCCTAGCCGAAGATTTGATAAATCAGGCAGATGACAAGAGTTTTTCAAGTAGGATGATGGATGCGGCTGCTTCGTTTGTCAAGATCGACCGCGTCTCCTCATTCCGCACCGACAGTGGCAGGAGTAGCAGTGGCAAGAGTTGCGGCTCGTCCGTGGTTCGCCTCAAGCGTCGCTTTGAAAAGGACGCTTTCACCAAAGCCAGAATGGAAGACCCTCCTATTGACAAGATTGCCGTGGATCCAACTTGCAAAGACTTGCAACGTGCCTTTGCTTGTGCTGTTGCCGCTGATGCCGACGGTTCCTTCGAACATGAAGCGACAGACGTGGCTTCTCTCCAGACGGGTCGCTACGAAACGCAGTTGCTCTCGTTTGCGGGGTCAAGAAGTGACGCTCCATCCACCAAACTGGCCACTCTGTTGGAAGCTGACACGGCATGCTCGGACGTGCCCGAGGTGGAAGCCATCTTGAGTGACCTACACATGCAGGAACTTGGAGAAATCGAAGCTGTCTACGGACTTCGGAGAGTTTCCGATGTGGCAGTGGAGAGTGACGACGATTCATCGAAGCAACGGAAAGATCAGCCAGTCAGGAGTGACCCGCCCAGAAGTGACCCACCCGACGTTGAGTTGGTTCCGTCTATATTGTCGTCCGAGGAACAAAGCGAAGGCGAGATTGTCAAGGTCCGAAATGAGCCCTGCTTGGACTCGCGCCACACTGGTGATACCCGGCGGAGTGCCAAACAAGAATGTTCCCCCTCTCGCCAAGATCCACACTCGGACGATGTGCGAAGGGACCCTAGCTTTGAGATTTCCAAGGATCCTAGCTTTGACTCTGATGCAAAGCCTGCGCCTGTGAAACTCGATGGAGAAGAGCATCATTTGATCGCTTCCTTACGTGCAAACCCAGTCAAGAAGGAGCCTACTAGTAGCCGAGGACTTGCAGAACCTGAGGGAGACTTTCGTCGCCCTGGACAAAAACAGGCTGCGTCCGTGGCCGCAACTCAGCTGGAGCCATTGTGTGCCCCCAAACAGGAGCCTTCACGAAGACCCAGGCTTGATCCCGATGCTTCTGATCCCGCTCAACCGGCCGTTATTTACCCATATCCTTGTGCAGGTCAGTATCCAGGCTACCCGGGGTATCCTCACATGGCGCCAGGTGTACCGATGCATTTCCCGCATGCCGCAATGGGAATCCCGGGTATGGGCATGCCCGCACCCATGCAAGATCCCCAGGTTTATGGCATGACATCTTCTCCATGCTTGTCCCCGACATCGCAAGCACCACCTGATGCTGCGGGAACTCCGCCGCGCGAAGATACAGAAGCGGAGCCGGCGCATCGTCCTCCTTTGCCCCCCACTGACCCTGCGAGTACTCAAGGGATTCTCAAATCCAATGTCCGCTGGTCCGATCAACAAGAAAAGCAGCAAAATCTTGCCGAAACAAGGGTCTTTGATGGGTCCAATGCAGCACGTGAAGTGTGCTTAGAACCCGACGCTGCGAGTTCTGATTCTCCTCCCGATGTCCGTCGACTTAACCGAGACGGAAACGATCCAGCGAACCCTTTGCCGCCTCTTACCAAGCCAGAAACGCCCGACGTACCAGAGGTCCCAGCTGAACCAGAACCGCCAAAACCTCCATTCGAGCCCTCTACTTCCGCCAGACCTAATGATCAGACTGTGACTCTAGAGCAGGAAACAAACACTGTGAATGGAACTCCCGAGCGCGTTGCTGTCGGACAATTTGAAGACAATGTTGCAGATGCGAATGCTGTGCTCTTCAAGTCGAGTCCAGACAGCACGCCAGAGCGCGATATTTGTGACTGCGACATGATTGACCCTCTGACAGGCCTTCCTCCTTCCCCTCGTGGTGTCACGGAGGACATGCACATGGTTGCTGTTGCAGTTGCAGCTGCCGTGGGGTCTGATTCGATGCCACCATGCTCCGTTATCAACGTTCAAGTCCAGGAACCCGTTGAGGATTTGTCGATTGATGCCGACAACAAGTCGGCATCAAGTCGTCCTTCAATCTTGGAAACCACTTTCGACGCTGTGCACAACATGATTCCACCGAAATGGGGAGTGAAACTCCAGCAAGCGAAAGATTACAAAGAGTTTAATTTCAACAGTGGTGGAAAGAATAACTACTCCAGCCTTTACGGGAAGGCTCATCCTTCTTTCGGAAGAGGGCCCCTTGAGGATAAGAAACGAAAAGGCCCTGTGAAGGGGATCATTGATCAGTTTCAACGATTTGCACACTTTATGGAATCGGATGGAGCATCTCTCTGCGGAAGTGAAAAGGGTAGCCATCCGGGACGGAGGAAGCGCACTGGAAGATCAGTCTATACAGAGGGTTCAACAACCTACCAGAGCACCAAGATGTCATCAGAATCAGAATCACCTCCAACCAGAACCAGACGAGGAAGGGGTTCAAGAGTGCATTCCACAAGATCAGTTTCGCCAAGTACATTACGAAGGGCACATGTTAGCAGCTCTGTGTACTCGGTGGGCTCTCACTCGCCTGACCGCGATGCCATTCCAATGCCCACAACGTCTAAACCAACGGTTGTTCTGGGTGCTGCCGAAGACGTGACCGATAACATGTATTCCCCAGCATACATGAGTGCCACAATCCAGTCCTCGAGACTCCAGGAAGGGAGGCATGCCTCTGACTCGCGAACCGCACAAAGGCTGGCTGCAACCACTCAAGGTCAAGAATGGAAGGCGTTTGAAGAGGATTCAGTGAACCGTGAGTCGCCAGCGGCGTCAAAACCGGAGGCACCAAAGGCATCCACTCGAGGTCGAGAATGGAATGCGTTTGAAGAGGAGTCAGAGAACCGAGATGCTGAGTGGTGCCCAAAGCCTCCTTTGCATTCTTCAAGGAGGGTATCTGCACTAAAGTCCTCCATGAAAGTCAAGAAGGACAGAAATGGCATCCCTCTACGAGGGCCTTCCAAAGGCCTCCGAGATACAGGTGAAGGCGGTCGCTTTGGAGGCGGCCGTGGTAGTGGAGACCGGCTTGGAAGCCTGTGATGAGTGCCGGTTGGACCTTCTTTGCCTCGCTCCTTTCAACCCCCTTTAGAACCTGGCTGATTGTAGCTGATAACAGGCTGGCTAGTGGTATTGTGGCTCCGTCTTGGAATCAATGGGAGCTCTCATACCAAGTCTAGTTAAACTTGAGTTTTGGAGCCGAAACAGTCTTCTCAATAGAAGTAGGCCATTTTGTTGTCAGTCCTGGTGTGGATCCTGGAGTTGGTGTACAGGATGGGCCAGTGTAGCAGGTGTTGTGTGGTTGTGTAGTGCAGGTCTTGGACTTGGGCCATGTGTGTGTAGTTCCAGGAGTTGGAAATGATGTTCTTCATGCAGACCCGTATCTCAATTGCCCTTGTGAAAGCTACCCATTTATGTCTCCGTGGATCCCGCAAAGCCAAACCCTTTGCCCCCCGTAATGGTCCTCCATTTCTTGCCCCTGATCCCACAGAACCTAGTCCTGAATTTCGCCTGTTCTTTGCTTAAGCCTGGCCCCGGCTGGCTTCCGTAGCTAATTTCCCTACTCTAAAACCCCCTTATAATTCAAAAAAAGTTGGAAATGTGGGTCCGTGTGCTAGCTAGCTAGATGTGCCGCCAGTCGTTCTCGCACACGGTGGGTTTGGGGTGAGAGTTGAGGCATTGCTATGTGATTTCAATCTAGGTTGTTTAAAGCTTTGAGTACCGTCTTGGTCAAACAGAGTTGGCATAAATCCTCGTGTGCACCTTCGCCCACACCCCAAACAAGAACCGAAACGTCGACGGTCCTCGATCCGACCACCAACCACAAGAAAAGCACCCGTTGTAGAGAAGTGGAAGATTGTCGTCGCCAAGCCAGACAAAGCTTCACAGAGAGAGGCCATGCCTATGGTAGTAGGGAAGAGATAGGACCTGATCTGATTTGGGCAGGCAAAGGCATGCTGTTAGTCGCCGCGGTAAAGGCGAGCATATTTGCGGTAATTTCGAGGGCGTTGTCCACTTACCTGGAAGTGAGCGTGACAGATATCGAGACCAAGCTGCTGCAACGAGATGCTTCCTTGAGACTGCAAAATGTCAAGGTGCGAGAGCAAAAAATTCCCCTCTCCATTCAATCCCAGAATGTGATGTGCTTTCTGATCATCAACGGGACCATAAAAGAACTAGAATTGGACTGGACTTGGTCTTCTTCTCCCTTTGCGCTGATTGAGCATGTCAAATTGAGACTTCAGGGGCTGAATCTGAAGCTCACTTTTCGCTACGAAAAAGAGTCGGAAGAAGCCGTCCTGGCTAGATCACATCCAGTTGACTATTTTGACCAAGAAGAGGGACCCAACGCCAAACCCGACAATTCTCTTGCTGGGCGCTGGCAACAAGAAATGCAACGTGCAAGAGACGCTGTAGCTTGCCATGTGAAAGACTCAGCATTGGTCCAACAAGCTATTCAGGATATCATCAATTCATTCTCTATCAGAATAGACTATGCAAACATTGACGTTCACGTACCCTTCACCAGCAATTTTATTCAAGTGTCGTTTGAGACCTTCCATTTTGGCACGAATGAGGGGAAGAGAGAATTCAGGATGGGGTCGACACCTCTGATGATGGACGGAGCTTTAGAGCTTTTTTCTGCCGAGCTGCATCACGGGCTCATGGGAAGGGCCTCATTTCCAATTGTAGAACCATTCACTCTTGAAGCAACCGCTCGCAGGGTGGCCGGGGCCAGGTTTCAGGACCTTACATCTGGGTATGAGCTGATTGTGAAACGAGCAAAAACCCAAGAATTTGCCAAGCTAATCGATCGTGGTATCATACTGCATTGGTCAGATGATGTCAAAGCAGCGTTTTCTCTCCTCCAAGATGCCTTCCAAGGAGCCTCACCTTCGGCTCCTGACTATGATGCAGAGATCTATCGCTCAAACAAAGACCCAAACTCTGCCGAGCTTTGGCCAATATCACTGAAGCTGCTTCTGGGCCTTGTATCTCTGATTGGTGTTACCAGTATTACAATCATCATCAGATTCATTCTACGTGGTTTGGGCATACTTGACGGTCAATATTTGACGATGGCTTCGTGGATCATCTTCTTCCTCTTGTTGGTGTGGGCAACATCAACACTGTTGGATATCTGGGTGGCCACCCATGCCAACCACATGGAGAAAAGTGTCGAAAGAGGGCTTCGAGTGCAACATCTGGAAAACTACCCTGCAATCTACCGATTACCGCTACCCTTCATCACAGTCATTGCTCCAAATGATGTCCGTGTCACCTTGGCAAACATTGTTCTAGTGGGAAGAATGGATTTTACGAGGACACATTTCTCTGCCACTTCATTCACGGTCAAAAGCAAAAGGAGATCGGTTCCTGGGCCCCAAGTGTCGTTGAAAGGAATTCGAGCCAGCTACCAGCACAAGAGGCTGCTTGTGAATGTCGATCTCATTCACAACTTGTACATTCCAGAAAAGATTCATCTTGCGAGAGAGTTGGAAGGCACGATCGTTGTTTTCGAGGAAGGCAGGATGACGATTAAGCTAAAGGCTGTCAAGGCCCGCCTGCTTACAGATGGCGAGATGATTGAACATTCAGAGAGTTTGCGCATGTCACATATAACAATCAACTTGCAAAAGGTGGCAGAAAAATTCCATGACGCCGGAAGGGTTGTCCACGACACTGGTATGAAGCTCTCCAAAGAGTTGAAGAATGGGTTTAAGAATGTCAAGTTCAAAATGAAATCGCAACGAAAGAGGTCATTTGACGCTGATGAAATCGATGCCCGAAATCGATTGCATGCCGAAATATACGAAGGGCTTATAAAGCTTCAACGAATGGCTGGCATGTTCGAGCTTATACCTTTACGAAAGCACCGTCAAAACTTCCGATTATACCCGAATTCATTTCGTGGCACTCACGCCGTGGACTACATTCTTGAAAATCGAATCGCACCGACTCGCCCGGAGGCGGTTAAACTTCTCAAGGATTTCGAGGTCGAATTTGGTCTTTTTGAGAGTGTAACGAGAGAATACAAGTTCCGCGACCAGCACGATTGCTTGTATCGATTTGTGCACCCTTCGAAACGGCGGTTTTGGTCGAAAAAAGAGCTTCCTTACTACTACGTTGAGACATTTGAAAGAGCTCCCCAGAGCTCCGTTCTTCCTTTCCCAATTATGGTTCTGGCTGAAGGTCTTATTCTAGTTAGACAAGACAGCGAGAGCAGCAAAATACTTACTGCATCCAAAGTTGAGCTTCATCTTCAGAATGGGAAGCTCTCCAGATCTGTGGACTTCACAGTTTTGGCACGGGGGCTGAAGGGCAACATGATCGCCATGACAAATGCCAGATTGCACGGAATAGTGGACCCCAAAGTGCCAAAGCTGATTCATCGCTTTCAAATGAGCCTTGAGATGCTCACAGTGAATCCAGAGTACACCATTGAAGATTGGTTCGACAGCCTCGGTTTGGTGTTTGATGACAATGACGAGGACAAATCAATGGAACTACGACAGATTGATGACGAGGACAATGAACCATACAGTCTCCCACATATGTTTGTATCAGATTTCAAATTACAATTGACCTGGAAAGGAATGTTCGTAAGAACTCAGGAAGCCACAATCTCGGTGCAAGGCATGAATGGTACAGAAATCAGCTCCTCTGGAGAGCTCATCAAGGACTTTGTGATCCACGTGTTGGGGAGAGCTCCAGGCATACTGTCGAATATACATTTCATGGGTGTCAATATAATGGAATCCTCTGGAGTAGCTATTGCGATGAATTTCGGATCAAAGTGGATTCCAGGAGGCCAATATATCAGTCTCGGTGCCATGGCGCTGTACGACTTTGCTTGCGTGGCTGTTGATGCCGGCAAGGCAGCTCGTCATGATCCTACAGGTGACTGGCAATTGGGGGATTTCCCTCGCGGCGTCTGGTTTGCTGGACTCGACACAGCCCGTGCTGGTGCAAAGCGGAGGGGTAAGACCACGGACGACTTTTATGATGAGCTCGACAGAGTCCAGCTGGACCCTCTCGATTTTGCTGTGGGAGCAGCGTATGGGATTGGCACTTATGCAAACACAAACAAGGCACGGTTCACAGGGGCAACGCTTGCTGCTTTTACTGCAATTGGTCTGACAGTTGCTTTTGGGCCTTTGCCTGCAATAGCAGCTGGCGTTGTTGTTGGAGCGAGCACAGAGCTGGCACTGGTTGAGTTGGAAAGAAGAGGACTTATCTTGCTCAACAAGTACACAAACAAGTCGGATGACGAAGATTCAGAAGATTCAGATTTTGAGATTGAAGAGGAGATTGACAGTTTTAACTTCGTCAGGTCAACAAAAGGACTATAGTCAACAAGTTTGCCAGCTACCACTAGTTCTAAGTAGCTAGCTAGAGGTGCTCCAGTGGTACTGCTACCGTAGAGAGACCGACTAGTGGCTGGTTGTGTGAAGTACCGGTACCACATACCGCTTGGAAGAGACCCATGGTACCACTATACCGTACCAGTACTGGTACCTAAAGAACCAGCTCCAACTTTGGTGATCTAGATAGCTACTAGAGGTCAAGCTCAATCTCGGGCAGCTTGAAGTTGCCCTTTTTGCGGGTTACTGTGTCCTAGCAAGCATCTCCAGATCAGCACCCAACATACCATTCAGGACATTCCCATCACAGGCCCATGAAACCTTCAAATGTCAGCTCAGATGCACCTACCGTGGTAGCTACATGCTCCATCGACGGCATGGTTTCGAAGGCAAAATGTGAGATGTGAGACCATTGTTGGACGAAATCATCACAAATTATTATTAAATCTTTTTGTGCCGGAGTCAACTTCAAGCGTCACACCGTCACACCCATCTTGCTGTTGTCTTCAAATTCTTTCGCGTGCATCATCAGGTCTTGTTGTCTGAGTTTTATCAACGTGGTTTTCCCGCGCCGTTGTGTAAACGCTGCGTGTGCATGAATGCCATATCAATAGTGACTGTGGCCGTCAAGCTGTCGCATCGTTGTTGTTGCATAATATATCAAAACAAGCCTTGATTGTGCCGAGTCGAGTCCAACAATGCATGTACAGTAATGAAAGTTGGACTGGCCTGTATTTTGGTGGCTTTGCTTTTCTATGTCTCTGCTGCTGCCCCCGCTGGTACGACAGGTAGTGCTGTCATCCTTCCCTCGGGCAATGAGCTCAGGGGAAGTGCTACCGATGTCATGCTAGTGTCTGTCGTTTCGGTAGATGCCAAGCTACAATCAAAGACAGGCGATCCCTGTGTCACGGATTTCGACGTCAAGGGAAGGGTCATTTCGGTCAATGCTACTTCCGTGGATGTTGTCGAAGGTGATTTGATATCCTTTGGTTCCTACGATGTGGACAAGGAAGCTCTAGGATGCCTGGGGTATGCTGTTGGCCCGTTGCCTCCTCTCAAACTGGAGCCAGGATGGTGTGGCAAGGTCTATCTCAAGTCGAATCAAGATGGAGATTTGTCAATCGCCGCCTACGGACATAGTTTTGTCTCTGCCGCCGACCCGGATGACTGCAAAAAGGCCCTGGATGGGCATGTCAAGGCACTCGATGTTGGCGGCATTGATGCTACTGGGGCAGACTTGATTGACGTGGACGCTTATGAGGATGACGAAGAGGATGGAGACAGCGACACAAATTCTGTCGCCTCCGTGGTCCACAGCATAATACCGGCCATATCCGGAACAGCCATGTTGTCGTTGCTTCTCTAATCGGAGATGGCGATTCGATTCGATTCAGTTTTATTGCAGATTTTCGACTTGGGTCGTGGTGCCAGCGATTGGTAGCCACTCGGAACCCAGTGGCTGAGATTCCTGCAACAACTCGTAGCTGGAAATGACAGCTCACCTTTATTTGTAGAATGCTGCCTGCATTGTCTAAACGTATAGCAAAATAAAGTATCAGGCAGAGAGAATAATTCGATTCGGGGACATTGGTTTCTTTTGCCTCGGTTTGGCCTAGTAGTGGAGGCGGTGAAGCAACTACAGGATACCGCTAAGCTACAGTAGTTGTGTGAGCACATTACCTACATGTAGTAGACAACGATGCTTGTGGGTGGTACCATGTACTTGGCACTTTGGTACCGGTACGTATTGAAATCGCACCTCGCCGGATCATCACACAATTGAAGCATCTTGCCTCCGCTGCTCGCAGCTAAGCTCGTGCTGGGATGTCGGCTGGTTTACCTTATCGGAAGAGATTGCAGAGAATGCAGGTCTGCCCAGCCACAGCTTTCACAATCGTGTCCTCAAATCTTTTGCATGTATTGCGATGGTAAAGTTGGTGTGGTGCGCTACCCCGTCCACCAACTAGGAACTGGCCACGACCTTGATCGCACGTGATCAATCAGATCTTCATGGTTTTCACATGCGCATACAGAAGATAGCAAAGCAACTAGGCAATACATTTGTATTCCAACACGTTGCTATTCCCGTAGGAAAAAGACAACCAATGCTTTTGCACTGGCACCAAAAGTGGTGCATCAACAATGATTCGAAACAAACTAAGCCTTCTCTTTTCCTTTTGAAGCTTGGCCCTTTCGTCGATGAAACCCCTCTCTAGCTAGACATAACTAGCCTTATATTATTCCGGTCAGACTAGCTAGCAAGACCCCGGGCTCGTAGCGTACCGGTGGCTGCGTGAACTGTCGTCGACCATGAGGCGGTGGCCAGATTGAGATCCAATGCAGCAGAGCTCTGAAACTGCTAAAACCCACAGAGGCCAAGGATACCGGTACTACCGGTACAGGCAGTGCGTCGAAGAGCACTTCGACCTCCCCAATCCCAAAGCTGTCTTTCTCTCAAAGCGACAAAGCGACGGAGAGGGACTTGTCGACAACCTCCTCAGGCACAGCTGTGTTTTAAAAGATGAAAGACAGATCCTCAAGAGCAAAGCCAAACTGGTCAGAATGAAGATAAAATGTAAACCCTTGGTGACTGATATTGAGCTGGCTCCGCCCATCAACGGCCGCAAGGATGAGGAGCTTGTTCTTGAGACCGAGGAAGCCCTGCCTCAGCATCAGCTCAGCCGGGAAGAAATCCAGCAAACTCGAAATATCCTGAATGCCCTTTCCGCACGCAGTAGCCATCCCGAGGAAGAAATCATTTCTCTGTTGCACGGAAGAGAAGAAGAAGCACCCGATAGAGACCGGGAAGAAGAGGCCAAGAGGCTGGCCCGAGTAGACGACCCCGAGGGCGAGTATGTGGAACCATTTCTGTACAACCGCGTCACAATGCGTGCTCTCAAGGATTACATGATGGACGAGGATTTGTTGCCCGATGACACCTTTAGTTTTCTGGTGACATCCAAAGTTCAGGCAACTCCTTTCATCCTAGCTACCTTGGTTTTCGTCTTCAAGTTTTCTATCTATGCCGTCACTTCCTTGGACGTGGCTGGCTTTGACAATCCCAGCAATCCATTCAATATACCGGCATCCGTGTCTGGGGCAGTCCGAGTGTCACAGCTGCTATCGTTGCTACTGTCCATATTTAACTTTGAGGATATTACACATTCTCTACGAATTATGCGCAATGGATGGAGCTATGAGATTCTCAGAAAGGAGTTCCCTGATGTGGCTCATGAAAGCAACCTGGCACTTGCTGCTCGGTGGTATTTCTCCCTTCTTCTTCGCATGAGTGGAGGCGTTTTCGGGCTCATGCTGACATTTGTACTCATTATGCAATCCACAACTGCCCTCGATGTGCTGCTCAACTACGCGGCCATGGCTTTTATTGGTGACATTGACAACAAAGTCTTTGCACTGGGGAGAGAGAACTATTTCGGGTCACAAGTCCGACGGCACTGTTCCCTCGTGTTGCTCTCAGAAAATCCAGATCCTGGACCTGTTTGCCCACGGAGATTCAGTCATCTCATTAGCCTGACATTCATCTATCTGGTCCTATTCATGTGCTGGCTGATCATTGTGGCAAAACAGGAAAATGGTGACTACCTTTGCGATACCATCTTGGTAGAGTTTGGCGATGATGTGAATCCTACCCTGGGAGCATTCAGTGGCCTCTACGATCGCGTCCAAGAAAACCCCAGATCATTTTTCACACCTCGTAGATCAATCTACTTTGAGCGGCAGTCAAAGATTGCTGCGTACTCGTATTGTTCGGAGGAAAAAGTGTGGGGTTTCAGATATAACCTTGGTTACACGATGAATGAGATCTTGGATGGAGCCATCAGTGAAGCCGACTTTTGCCAAGACTTGGATGCTTTCAGCTCGGAAGCAACAACCTTCAACATTTTGGAAACAATGGAGAACATAAGATGGTTTGCCAAGAACCAAGATGAGCGAGTTGTTCCACTTCGGGAGCTCGACTTATCCATGGAATGTTATGATTGTGGCAGCCAAACATTTGGAAATTGTGGATCCAGGGGCAAATGCATTGAAGGAAAGGGTTGTGTGTGCGACGATGGATGGTTTGGATTGACATGTCAGCTTCGTTCTCCCTGCGATCGTATGGAGATCGATGTCAGAGGCGGCGAGTTCGAAAGCACCCGAACTTGGTCAAAAGACTTTGATCTCTTTGCTTTGGCAAATGAAAGCGGAAAAGAGGAAGTATTGAGCCTCTATGGACGCCCTCTGTATGTGCATCAGTATCCAAGTGGTCGCGTTGATATCATATTTTTCACCGGTCGACGATGGGCACTGACATTGCTGGGAAACATTCCTGGGGTGTCCAGGATATCAGACTTGTCAAAGTTTGTGGAGAATTTTCATGCATACTACAGCAACTATACGGTTGACTTCCTAAGTGAGTCAGTAGATGCAGCTGCAGGAAAGGCAATGCCCGTTGACTTGGGTTGGTTCAGCGCCAAGGACAGGTCGCCAACTAATTCTGGAATGCAAGCTGTGGATCCCCAACAGCCGTCGGAAGCTAGCTTGATATGTTCAACCTGCCACAACGAAACCAATCCATGTTACTTTGACGAGGTCTGCTCGCCGAATGGCAGTTGCCAGTGTTCATCGTCCGCTTCTCAAGGAGCCCTCTGCCAAAAGCCCCCAATAGGTGAGTTTGCGTGTGCTGCTACTGTTGCATCCCGAGCTATCCGATTGCGTCCAACTCAACTCAACACGTCGTCTTGACCCTCTCTTGAAAAGGAAATGGGATGTGGTAAGCGTCCGATCAAATTCTCGAATCCATATCGACTCCATAGTAGCACGTTTGCTAAGTTTCTCCCTTTTTCTCCTCTTCAGCGACCCATATTACAACACATGGGAGTTTCGACGAGATGCTGGAGATTGCTGCGAGTTCGAATGCAGAAGTAGTGACTTCAAGTGCGGAAGGGATGTATCGGGATATCTTGAAGTCGGATATTTCAATTGTAGGCCACCAAACGCTGAGAAAGAATGGGCGGAATTCAAAGGATCAATGAGTTCCGACATGGGCGCAATGTCTACAAACGGGGCAGTCCTTGCATCGACATTCGCTGGACCGTACGGCACAGAAGTGAGAATCTTCGATCGAGATGGAAGCCAATGGGATCAACGAAGGCGGCCTCTGGTCGTCCTCCCTGTCTTTCAAGGCATCGAAAGCATCGCCATCGGAACCCACTTGACTACCGCTATCGCCAATCCCATGGTTCGCCCTCCAGCCGTTGTTGTTGTGGGATGTCCAGCCACAAAAAAAGCATTTGTTTCAAAATGTGAAACCTTTGGCTGTTCCCATGTGTCTTCGACAGTGGATGCTCCGTCTAGCATGGAAGCTTTTCGGTTTGGACACAGCGTTGACATCAGCAATAATGGAGATAGGATTGCTGTGGCATCGTTGGGAAATTTCGGCAGCGAAAATGGCTTTGTACTAGTGTTGGAACACAATCTTTCTGACACATCCGAACATTTCTGGAACGAGAGCCTTGGGGGCCCGGTCCTCTCTCCATCCCCCCTTCTTCTCTCCATGGCTCTATCTGGCAATGGGGAGATCTTGGCAGTCGCTTCTGGAGACAGCTCAGGGTTCATGTCTATTCAAACCTACTCTTGGACTGGACTCAGCTGGAAAAAGGTTGGGAGCGAGATTCCTGGTAGCTTTTGTTTGCACGAAGACAACAAGTACAACCGCCTCGTCTCTTTGTCTAGTGATGGTTCAACCCTTGGTGCGGTGGTCGGCGGGGCTGGTAGTTCTGTTTTTGATTGGTCATCTGACTTGGGTTGGGTCCAACAAGGCAGTGTATTGTTGCCAATTGCCAACGAGGATTGTCGACTAGATCAAACCATAAGGTTGAGCGGAGATGGGAAAATTGTTGCCGTTGCAAACACAGCAGCACAAGAGGCATTTTTTGAAGTGTTTGAGTGGACTGATTCGGAATGGAAGAGTGCCGGAAAGAGCGACGTCAAGCGATCATATAACATTCGCCCGACGCTTTCCCTCACCTCTTTTGGAGACATGCTTGCTTTGTCTGCCGGCTCCGTGGGTATTGGTTCGACAGGGAAACTAAAAGTATATGAACTCCCACTGCGTAGGTGTGGACACATGGGACTCTTCCATCTTTCTTTTGTCACCACGGAGAATACAACGTGGACATTGTCGGAGAACGGCACACGTGTGGTGCTGGCTGATGGAGGTGATTTCATTGGGCATGACTCTGTCTCCATCACGGAAGATATTTGTCTAGAAAGACACGTATGCGCCTTTCTGAGTATCAACGGCACAAAGCAGTTCAAGGTATATTGGAATGGCAACGAGATTGAAGTTGAAGAAAGTCATAGAACATCCGGGTGGAACATTCCGGTTGGAAATTGCAGTGGTTCCCCTTCGTGAGTCTTCCCAGGTAGTGAGATTGAATGAGCTCGGCCACCAAGGCTCAGAACTCCATACAAGCTGATACCTAGGTGCACTCCGTTATCAACAATGCGCCCCGTTGACAGCTTCATTGTTGATGGTCTCTTAGTCATGTTCGGCACCCCGAGTAGTAGCATTGGTAGGCAGCTCTGCCCTGTTCGTTGCATCTATTCTATTTGCAGTAGAATCTTGCAGCTGTGTCTCTTCAAAACCTTGAAGAGGACTCTGGCGTTCCGTCGATGGCAATAAGTTGCCTTCTTCTGCATCTATTTCTGTTTGTGTTTCCTTGTTGGCATTCTCGTTTTTCTTTTCGATTGGCAAGCCCCCCAAATCTATCGGTGTTGGCTCTCCGCTACTGTTGTGGCTGCCTGGAAGAACATCACATTGTGTTGCAGTGCACGTTGCAGTTGCATCGGGAAGATTGTCCATGCTGCATATTGGTGATGGTACACTCTGTGATACTTTGGTGGTTGTTGTTGTGTTATAATTGCCCCCCTCGAATGTGTTGAGCATTTCCAGATCCAAGTCGTCAAAAGCACCAGCAGCATTGTTGTTGTATCTGGAGCTTTCATCCACCCCTTCGTGAATGGTTTTGAATTCTTGGGAGGCAGAAGCAAATGGATACGGTGCATTGGTGTTGCTACTACTGACCACGGATCTCATGGCAGCACTGCTTGGATTTGGAGTATTATTGCCGGTAGACTGGAAGAAGAAGCGCGAGGAAAAGTGGGACCAATTGGTAGATCGGAACAGGTCTGCCCGCTGCTGAAAGTCCCTTCTTCGACTGCCGACTCCCAGCAGGTTTTGTTCGAACTGTTGATTGACTTTGCGGGTGTTGCATGTGACAAAATTCTTGACGGCTTGTCGAATATCCGACTTGAGCATGGAAACAGCCGCCGAGGCGGCACCTTGGGTGTGTGCCCACAAACCCCCAATGTAAAAGCCATAAATGTTCTTGGCCGAAGCAGATAGGTAGAATACCAGCAAGGAAGGCAGCCACATGGATAAAAACACAATGACAATACGGAAAAAGAAAATGGCGACTTCTCGTCGTTTCCCTTGTGGTGGCAGTAAATTGTTGCGTCGTACATCAATGACCACGTAGGAGGTGAAAAATACTGGAATGGCAATCATGAGAGGGAAAAAGCAGAGCCAGAAAAAGACTGTGGATGCCGTGTCATATTCCAGCGGCATACAGACCAGTCCGTGAAAGACATCCGTCTTGTGCGGGAAGAATTTGGAGGGGAACTCTTGTCCCAAGACACCCCAGGAAGCCATGAAAAGGCCCATCAAGTAGCAGAGCGCGACCCGTGTCATGATGCGTTTGGTGGTGGGTGGAAAATACCGCAATCGTCGGGCACTGCTTTTGAGAAGAATGTGAATCTCATGGGCCACCACTCCATTGAGCCATCCATTGGCGGTGATGCTCCAGACCAAATAAAAGCTCTGAAAATGACACGTAAATGCAGAGCTATAGCCACCCGTCCCGGCCAAAAAGGCGCATTGAAAGGCACACATGCCGGTGTAAAAGACATCGGGCCACATTATGGCCAACAGGTACCGATTGAAGGGTTGTCGACGGGTCTGTTTCGTGCACAAGACCGACAAAAATACCACCAAGTTGAAACCACTAAACAGAAAAAAGGCCGTCGACCAGCCAATCCACATGGCTTTCATTTGTTCATTACTGGGAGCCGCACGAAGACGATCGTAGTGAGACGAGTCCTCCGTCAGTTCCCACGTACGAATGACCGGTTGCCCAAGGTAGTAGTCTTCAGGGCTTTCTCCTCCTCCATCGGTAGTACTATTGTGGTCTTCCAGTGCTCTCTCGACAATATCCATATACCGGTAGGTGGTCATGGTGCTCGTGCTAAGCAATGCCACAAGCAATGCCACAAGCAATGCCAAGAGGATTACGGACGATCTCTTCTCGAGCTACTGGCTAGGCTAGCTAGCTAGCGGTAGCAAGCAGAGAATGGATTCGAGGCAGATGATAATGAGGAGAGAGAATGCAAGAGCACACAACACACAGGATAATGATGTCGGCATTGAGTCAGCGACTGTCCCAGCACAACACCCAGCTGCCACTACTAGTAGCCAACAGCGACAACAGACAACAGCCCCTCTCGACTCGATTCTCCACGCTCCAATAGCCACAAAAAGAGGAAGAATCTGAAAGATTCAAAGACCAGAAGTCCAAAGAATACCGTATGCCCTATAACTAAACACGACGTCTGCCACAATTCGTAGGAACACTGAGATTTAACAATGGAACCCAATGGCAACTTACGGTCATTTCAACCTCAAAGCTCTCCGGAAAATGTCATAAAAGCTTATATAGCTCATAATATATACAGTCAACGCTCGCTTATATTTATAATCTTGTATTTATTCGCTCTATAATATTTAAGAATACTCCAGTTCCCACATTTTTAACTCTAACCCTATTTTAGTACTAGAGCACGTACAATTCTACGGGAATAGTTAGGGTTAGGGATAACATCAATATTTATTCTCGCTGTTATATTTACTGAATTCCTGAATCCCCCCCAGTATATATATCTGAATGTTGACTGTATTTTTAGGGTCAACTGCGTTCGCTTCCTTCAAAGCAACCATTACGAACTACTAGCTACCGGTAGTAGTACAGCAACGAGACGAGGGCAATTGGTTCGCAGCAGAGAAGAATGCCGAAGTTCGCGTGGTCTTCGCTCAAAAACCAATTGCTCAGCCAGGGAACGAGCTTTGCTCTGCCGAAGTAAGAAAGCAGGGGATAGCTAACCTGACGCACTCAGTCCCCGCAAGGTTGATGTCGCTCTAGATCTGGACCAGAAGGCTTGACCATTACTGGTACCGCAGGCTATATGGCTTGGTCGCTCCGACGAGAGGGTTCAGTGCTGCTTCCTTTGTGCGCCTTGTGTCGGCCTGCCTTTGCTTCGTCCTCCTCCACAGGCAAGATGCTTTGCACGCATGGGCCCCTCAGGTGTTTTCCGGAGGACGACAGGGAGCAAAAAGCAAGTTCCAAAAGGTGGGGCGGGCAGAAGCACTCAAAAAGCAGAAAGACAAGAGACTTGCTAGCTACTGACACAAAGAGGCAAGTCGTCTCTCGGTGCAATGCTCCAGCATATGCATTGATTTTTGACCCTGTAACGTCGAGCTCTGGCAGAAGCGGGCCACACCGGTACAGAGATAGCTGAGGCGAGGTCCTATCCATTCTCCATGTGTGTCCTCCGTGCATTCGCGAAACACATTTATTTTCGTCGATTTATTTAGTTGTACGAATAAAGATTTCATTCCTATCCACATACAGTGGTTCGCACGCGAACACGAACCACCTCGAATCCCCAACTCTAACGAAAATGGCCAACCCACCAGATTCTGCCAAAGCGCAATCACCGTACGTCAGGAAAACTCGTGAAAATCGCATATGATTGTTCTTTGATAGAATCTCGTGGGCATATGATTGTTCTTTGATAGAATCTCGTGGGTTGCCATAGCTATCCTCGTGCATGTGGATCCACCAGGATTGATGTGGATCAACCAGGATTCGTTGGGTGACTGACGACTGACGTTTTCGGAAGCTCGGCTGGCTCTAAGCGAAATCCATTTCCACGAAAGCTGCGGTACGGCGAATTGAGAATGGGAAATCAATGGTTCGCCGTACCGCAGCTTTCATGGAAATGGAGTGAAAGCAAGGCGATTTTAACAGTTAAATTGAATTCACGAACGAAGGGAGGAATAAAGAGGTCACAATCGCTGGTTAGGACCGCGCCTGAAGTCGGAGCCATCGGCTACTAATATTGTACAGTACGGTACACGGAATTTTCCACCCATATACCCCTGGTACAACTTCTAGGCATGCAATGCGTGGGTGAAACGTTTTACCAGTAGGAAGCATGCTCAGAACATGCCTGCCTCGGACGTTTCCTCTAGTTTGTTGGTGTACAGGAGCGGTAAAGGTTTGCGATCAGTGAACCAAATCCAGTGGCTAGCGAATCCACTGCACCACAGTTGATTCGGTGGGTGGATTAACCTACTTAACAGTCAGACGGAATTGCACTACTCTCTAGCAATTGCAATGGTGTAATTGCTTCAACATGCTAACCGCTAACCGGTATATGCTGGGTTGCCACGTCCGCGGAGCATCGAAGAACACATAGTATGCTGATCCGGAACGTCGAAGAACCACCTAGCCAGTTTTTTAAAAAGGTTCTACTAGTACTGAGGCGCGGTCCTAACCAGCGATTGTGACCTCTTTATTCCTCCCTTCGTTCGTGAAATCAATTTAACTGTTAAAATCGGCTTGCTTTCACTCCATTTCCATGAAAGCTGCAGTACGGCGAACCATTGATTTCCCATTCTCAATTCGCCGTACCGCAGCTTTCGTGGAAATGGATTTCGCGTAGGACCAATCAGAATGTTAGAGCCGGCCGATCTCAACCAATCCCACAAATCACTAACTCTAATCGGCAAGCTTTTCGAATTCGGTACTAATTCGGTACTGTACCCATAGCAACACTGCGTTCGATTGCAGCTACTAGCTACCAACAGACCAATCTCGACAACCAAGAAGGTTAACAAGCCAAGCCATTAACCGGGAGTAACCTACATGCTAATAACTTTGCTAGCCTTCTTGGTTGTGAAGATTGGTCTGTTGGTAGCTAGCTAGCTAGCTAGCTAATGGCTAATAGCTAGCTAGTAGATTGAAGATTCGATTGTTTGATCATTCGATCGAATACTCAATCGATTCGTTAGAGTTGGGGATTTGCGTTGATTTTTCGCGTACCGCGTATGTGTGTCACATGGATAGGAATGAAATCTTGATTCGTACAACTAAATAAATGGACGAAAATAAATGTGTTTCGCGAATGCACGGAGGACACACATGGAGAATGGATAGGACCTCGCCTGAGTATTTGATTGCAGCAAAAGTGAGTTCTAAATACTAAAGGTTGATACGGTACATGTACCGGTTGTTGAGAAGACCCTGAACCTGGATGCTCGTATCTTTCCAACTATACCGTCTTGTAGATTGGGTTTTCTGTCTCTTCAGAATAGATCTTTAAAATCATTCAAGATTGTGAGCCTTTCGACTCTTCGTTTTGATCCATCTTGCCTATCGTATCTATCTTGTCAAATGTATCGGTCTTACCATCCACATTGGTCTTACCGAATACATTGGTCTTGCCTCCATTGTCAACCCGTCGCTTGCTTCATTCATCATGGTCCCACCATCTAGCTAGCTAGCTAGACTAACCATACCTATTCGAGTCCCGGTACCTTAGTCGTGGTTGGTCTGTAGTCCCTCCATCTCTTCAACTGCCTTCACATATGCATCCATGATTTCTTGCAACCATTTGCCTTTTAAGCTAAGGAGGGTTCCCGTGACGCCAACACCTTCCATTAAAGCGTCGTAATGTCATCAAGATGCCATCCAATGGTAGATTTGTTGCTGGAATGTTCGCCGTCGAGGGGATGGCCAGAACCGGTGGTGGAGTGCCCGTGACCCATGCATTTCTTGCAGCTCCTCCTGGGCCTACGCGGCCAAATTCCACGATTCCCGTGGTGACAAGATTGCCTATGGCATTGTGTGTGGCACACCAAGCCATCATTCGACCATTCTCAGCAGTAGTAGTATCAAAAATCTTGATGAGAATGACGCACTCTGCTCCTGGAACATGCGAAAGTATGAGGTTGGCACGGGTGTTGAGAGCATTCTCATCTTGTGACTGTCCAACTTCCACCAGAAGGGGAAAGCCAGGCATGTTGCCGATAACTTTAACATCAGGAGTAATGTTTTGAGCTCCAGCTGCTGTCTGAATCTGCCCCAGGCAAACCTGAAAGGCCGGGAAGGCAACCTTCAGCGCATCGTAAAGAGCCAATCGAGTGGTACCATGGGAATCGTAGCAACCTTCTCGAAGGAGCACACAGCGATCCTCAACATCATAGGAAACTCGAAGCCCCGTTTCTGAATTCAGAAGCCAGTCATTGTATTGTTCCAAGGAAACATCTCGTCCAAACTTTACAGGCAACTCGCCCTTGTCGCAATATCCAATCAGAGTGGAGACACCTTCCTCATCATGCGGGAAAGCAACCTCCACACGCTCAATTCCAGGAGAGTTTGGAGCACTAGCTGGATTGACTCTGCTTGGTTGTGGTGAGTCTGCGCTCATTTTATGGTCGGGTTGTTGGTTGTTTGTTGTTGTTGTGTGTCGGTATCGCGGGTTGTTTGTTGTTTGTTGTTTGTTGTTTGTTGTTTGTTGATTGTTGTTTGTTGTTGTTGTTGTGTGTCGGTGTCAACAGACATGATGGACGCTGGTGCCCAGGCAGAGCGAAACCGCCGGCTGTTGTTGTTTGTGCCAGTACTAGCTAGCTAGTGCAATACACGGCTCTTAGCCTTATTCGCGACTCAATCCTAGATGGGGTTTGAGTTCGACTCATGACTGAGTCTCTCGTGAATAGTCATTTGAGACAGGGTTCTCAATGACCGCTCTGGTCATACTAGGTTGATGATGAAACATCACTCTAGATATTTAGCCAGCGTGGAGTACTTCCACGCTACTAGATCCATGCTAGACGAATCTTCCACGCGTTCCGTTTTAGGATCGTGGAGATACGTAGGATTACTACCGCAACCTACTCTATCACACTTGATAGTCTCCCGCGGAAGCCAGATCTACGATCCCTTGATGATGATCTCTCTCGTTGATTAGTTTTCATAGCTTTCTAATCTCTCTCATAACTTTCATTCTCTCAAACTCAAAACACTCGAAAGATCTTACACTAGCTTTTAGCGTAGTGCATTTTGTTAACAAACACAATAGCTTTCAGTACCCTCAACCTATTCCTTCACCATGAAGATGGCTCAAGGAAAGCATGCGTTCCGCAACTTGAGAAACAGTTGCGTGACAAACCCTTTCTTCCTCTCTCAGTCAACAATGACGAAGAAAACGAGAGATCGACGATACTCGTACAACCACTTGCAAACTTCGCAACCATGTTGCAAGCGCAAATCAGAAGACCTGACAATGAGGACAACTCCTCTATCAATTCAATCACTTGGATGAGAAATCTCTATCTGAGATTAGGCAGATGATGACTCAACGAAACCTGTTCCGATTTCTCATACCAAAGTGATGAAATATCCACTAACTAGTAAACAAGAATTGTTTGCAACTGATGAACACTACGGCAAATTAGATGATTGCCTAAAGCTGCTCTCATACCCAACTTTGGGACTGGCGTGTATATACTCATCAGTGGCAGAACAGGGACATCAAGCAGCGGACATAGGTAACTCCGATGGCGGAAGAAGCAAGGGTTGCCACCAGCAGTGATTGGGGTGATGCTGGAGCAGCGGTGGTGGGAGAGTGTTGCACAAGAAGAGGGTGCCTTGTAAGGAAACTTGCGGAACCCACGATGTTACTGGTGAAATGAGCACTGGTGCCTTTGGAGAACCTTCCACAGTTGCGACAGTATTTAGCAACCACCTTCCATCACAGAAATTGGTGTGTTGGGCATCATCGGAATGTTCTCTCTTGGAGGCATGGAAGCAAGCTTGTCTTTGATAAGAGTTGTGAGTTTGGAGTTGGTTTCAGCACTCAGACCGTTGTCCTTGGGAGCACCTCGCTTGGGACATGCTGGATCGTTTCTATGATGATCAGTAGCTCCACAATCAAAGCAGGCGCCTCCACGAGGACGGGTACCGCCACTGGCTGATCCACTGTTTCGATCCTGAGTGAGACTCCCAACTTTTGCCTCAACTGCTTGTCAATTGCTCCTGGAAGGCTTTGGCCTGGGATCCCTTGGATCCAAGATGTTGGGCAGGCTCATAAGTTTTCTGGTTGATGAGGACCCGATAGAGGGCATCCAAGTCATTCAAAGTGTCGAGTGCTTCCAATTGTTTGTTCCCATAGTTGCTATCAAATCCGTTGATGTCACTCTTGACAACAAGCTCATGGACTTTGGATCGAAAGTATGGACAACCACAGCCAAGGAGACCCTCAAAGATGTGCTGGTTAGTTCAGGCATGGGATCACTGGACATAAAGTTTAATCGAATCTCTTTGATGATCTTGCTTGCATCGACAACATACATGGAAACATTCTCCCCAGGGAACTTGGTGATGTCCAAGTGAAGTAGCTTGGCTTTGAGGGTTTCAATCTTACTGAGAGAAGGTCTGTATATTTCTGCAGAAGAGCCAAGAGAAGTTGGGGCCCATTGTGTTTGGCTCTAGGAACATATGATTTCAATTCTTCCTGAGTGATCAGTGCAAGAGTTCAAGACAGCCTTTCCCGACCAGGCAAGGTTGGTTAGATCATACTGGCAAACAGGATGTTGCTGCAGATCCCCATTGGCATCGATGAGTCTGCCCCATTGACTGTGAGGTCCTGATGCCATTTTCCATCATAGACTCTGAAACCTGTCCAGGAGCAGTGAACATGTTGATTTTATTAATAGTGTTAGTATTAAGGTCTCCAACAACAAGCTGGAATACCCCTTCCATTCCATGCTCTGTCATCATACTCTCAAAGGCGATAAGAGAGGCTAGCACATGAGACCCAGAAGCATTGGACTCAGTCAGAGTGGAGAATAGTAGACTGGTGGAATCCTTCAGTCTTTCTTGCATGCCAATTCGATAGGCTGGAGTGTGGTGTGATGTTTCAGATGGTCGTCACCATGGAAACCCTGAGGCATAGGGTGCTTTGAGGTTCCTTTCCCAGTCCATCTGAGCCAGATCTGTCCAGGCTCCAGTGGTGGTTGATACCTCCAAGTCGAGGGGCTTCTGTAGCTTGGTCTTTTCTTTGTTTTCCCAATGTGCTGGAGGAGCTCTGAACTGAACTGCGGTCAATGGTGCTGCAGTCATGGTTGGAGGATCAGATGTGGGATGATTGGATCAGATTCAAAGAAGCTTGTCTGAACCTTGTGGACTGAAAAGGATGCTGATGCTGGCGCTGCTGTTGAAGATGAAGATGCTGAGGCAGAGGAAGCGTCGTCAAGGTCCATCAAGTGAAATCAACAAGAGGGCAATGGCAATGGCAACAGCGGCATGGCAACAGTGGAACAGTGGCAACAGTAGAGGAGCGGCAACAAGAGGAGGAGCTCGATGGACCAGTCAATCGAGTCAATCGAAGCTGGCGCTAGAGTTTATGAGCTTTCTTCAATCGGAGCGAGTCCTCGAGCGAATCTTCGTTTAGGAGCGAGTCCTCGAGCGAATCTTCGTTTGAATGATCATTCAAACGGAGCGAGTCCGCGAGCGAAGATGAGTGGTTCAACGACCAACTGCAAGCCGGCTATAACGACCAATGCCAGTCCTAGGTAGACTGAGCTTGTTGTTATCGTTATCGATCGGCAGTTTGTTGTTGTTCATCGCCGTTCCGTGTTGTCGTTTCGAACAACAACTCGACGGACGAAAACGACATACGTGTACCTCTCCGTCGAGTTAATGAAAAGTGAGGAACTGAAGCATGACTCAATAAAAGACTTAAGCTCAGGTAATTCGAATCGATAATAGTAGGTAATAAGCATGACTAATGCATGACACACAAGCCGACCTTATATTGCATCGGAGCTCATTTTTCGACGAAATCTGTTAACTCGGCGGCAAAGCCTTGGCCATGCTCAGCTTCAGCATGGATCGATCGTCGATCGGCCGAGTTAACAGTAGTAGCAGTAGAAGCAAAATAACAGAAGCAGTATCAGTAGTGGTTCCTGCATCGATCGAGTAAAGGGTGGACTCCCATAGGAGTCCATTGTTGCCAAGGGGATTGCTTACGAGCGAATCCAAGAGATCCTCATCACGATGTTGGTCGATGACAGGATAAAGAACAAGAGGGTTGCTTACGAGCGAATCCAGCAAGTTGACAAGGGGATTGCTTGCGAGCGAATCCAAGGGAATTAAGTTGCAATAAGTGGAAGGACTACCGATGAAGATAATGAGAGGAAACTCAGGACTCTGCATCAAGGGATAGCTCATTCCATTGACAACCATAAGGGATAGACATATAAGAATAAGAATGAGTAACATCTCATAACCTCGCATGCTACCATGCGACAATACCATTGTGTACTGATTAATCTAACGATCTAAGAGATGTAAAGTTTGTATTTCCAAATAAGTGAGCAGTTATTGATTATTTTCTAGAATAAGCCTGCTAATTGTAAAGCTGTAAAGCTGAATTGTAAGCTGTATCCCGTCGCACTCTTGTCTTGCGACGTTTACGAGGTTGGCCACGGACGAGGTTAACGATGCTAAATAGATCATCAGAGTCTAGTT